CTCCTGGCTTCCCTCGTGCCCTTCTAACCAAACAGCAGCCAGTAAATGGCTTCTCATCTCATGTATATGTCAGATCATGACTCTTCTATTTTGGATCCTTCAAATACAGAGAGTAAAAATCTTTACCATTCTCTAGAGGAATAAAAAGAAAAAAAATAATTTTTGTTCAACTAAACCCTCCTCACCGTCCCTGCACCCATTCTGCCCCAGCCAGAGTGTCCCTTCCTTTTGCTGATCTGAGACAACGCAGCACACGCCCGCACTTACACCGCAGGGCCTTTGCACTTGCTGTGCCTTCTGCCTCAAACACACATCTGCCAGACAGCAGCAAGGCCAGCTCCTCCTCCACACATCTGTTCATTTTCCACATCAGAGGCGGCTTCCCTAATGCGCCTAAAATAGCACTCCTCTCCCTGCTTTTCCTTACAACACATTAGTTACGTATGTTTTCCTCCCACTTATAATATATGCCCCCATGAGAATAGGCATTTTGTTCACTTTCTTCTTAGCAGCTAGAACCATGCCTTTCATATGGTAGGCATACAAAAGAAGTTGGCTGAACGAACCATTCAGAATCCTTCCAATAGATCTCACATTTCAACCCAGTTTAACAACACTGGCTTGAATTGGTCCTCATACTGGTGTAAAACAGTTCATCTTGAATTTCAGTCACATTTCTTTTTTTTTTTTCCTTTATTAATTTGAGAGAGAGAGGAAGGGAGAGATAGAAACATTGATGAGAGAGAACATCGACTGGCCTCCTCCTGCATGCCCCCCACTGGAGATTTGGTCCATAACCTGGGCATGTGCCTGACCGGAAATTGAACCCCTAACCTCTTGGTACATAGGCTGACACTCAACTATTGAGCCATACCAGCCGGGTCAGGTCACATTTCTTAGTGTACCAGATTACATACTGATGTTTCTACATCATCACGTCTTTTTACTGACCACTTATTCCTGAAACAGCTGCCATTGAACAATTTTTCAGCATTTAGAAAATGCTCAGTTCTCCTTTGCTACTATATCATATTATAATACTGTGACTACAGTAATTTGAGTTAATTTTTATTCAACTGACTTAATATTTGAAAGTCATGAAACATTCATTTCCACCCTGAAACTATAGTCTCTATTCTCAAATGAAATCCCATATTGAGCAGTGAAATGCAGAATTCTACAGTCCAGTTTCCAATTAGGAATTTCTCTTGCCTTTGAATTATCCAAGTTTGTCGCTTCTTCCATCTCTCCTTCCTGCTGTTCGAATTTTAACAATCTCAGGATTTTTTTCTAGCACTGGTCCACTGGCACGTACACACCAAATTAGTTTATGTACCTGACCACAGTCATAACCAAAAAGCAGTTCATGGTAGTCCAAACATGCAGGCTGAACGGGGACGAGAGTGAGGAGTTCACTTGTCTGTTATCCTTGGTCTTGTCTATTCTAAAGGTCCACAATAACTGTAAGGTCTCTGCAAAGATAGTCAATGGACTGACTCATTTCCATCAGGGAAGATCTCAGACTCTGGCTGCTACACCTGTGTTCTCCCGATGATGCGGCTCCTTGAAGTGAGCAGTCTACTTCATTATAAAAATGTCCCCGTGGTTTCAATGGGTCCACATGAACTTATAATTACCCTTAGGCAGCACCGACTTTCAAAAAAACTAAGAATAAACTTGCAAAAGAGAATCAATCCTCATACCATTTTATAGCTTTTTTATTTCCACTTGGTGTTAATGGGATTTTTAAAATGTCACCATGGACTTTATTTCAACTTCTACCTGTTGACTTAACCTCTTGACATCTGGAATCCACTGTTAAGACTGGATGTCAAAGATAACTCTAAAGATATTTCAAGGGCTTAAATATTCTGAAAATTGTAGCTTTGAAAAAAACTTTAAAAAACATCTGTCAATCCCTGGCCAGTTCGGCTCAGCAGTTAGTGTCAGCCCGCAGACCGAAGAGTCCCAGGTTCGGTTCCGGCTAGGGGCATGTACCTCAGTTGCAGTTTGTCCCCGACCCTGGTTGGGGTCGTGTGGGTGGCAACCACTCCATGTGTCTCTCTCACATCGATGTTTCTCTCTCTCTCTCCCTCCCTGTCCCCTCCCCTCCTGCTCTGTCTAAAGATAAATGCAAAAATGTCCTTGGGTGAGGATGAAAAAGAAAATCTGTCAATATGACTTCTGGGTGTATGTCTACAAGAACTTAGAGTATCAGACATTTGCACACCAATGTTCACAGGAGCACTATTCTCAATTGCCAAGATATGGTAGCAACCAAATGTCCAACAACGAATGAACAGATAAATAAGAAAATCCTGTCACATGCTACAACATGGATAAACTTTGAGGACATATGCTAAGTGAAATAAGCCAGTCCCAAAAGGACAAATACTGTGACTTATATGAGGTCTTTAATTCATAGAAGAAATTCAAATTCAAATCAAATTAATAGAAACAGAAAGTAGAATGGTGGTTTCCTGGGCCTGGGAGAAGGGCAAAAAGGGCGGTTGTTTAATGGACATTAAGTTTAGTTCTTCAAGATGAGGAGTTTTCAAAGCTGTTACACAACAATGTAAATATACTTCACACTAATGAAATGTACACTTAAAAATGGTTAAGATGTTAAGTTTTATGGTGTTACCACACACAAAAAGCAAAACACATCTGCATTGTTTGCATATAGATTTTTTATGGAGATGGGGCAGGACAGATGCTTATAATGTCTGGGTGGCTTTTAACCTTATAATGCAATTTCCCTTTAAACTAAACACCAAAAAAATCTTTCATAACCTTAGCATTTATTAAATGTATCAAGTGCCGAGCATCTTAAATTATAGTTTATTCATTAGGGAGGAATGACTTAAGTGTACAGACGGAAGAGAAATGGGCTATTCTGTCTTATAGTTTGTCTGTGATTATCTGACATATGTCTGTCTTCTCCACGAAGCAGACTTAAGTAAGCTCCAGTGTTTGGTTTGGTTCATCATTATATCTCCAGGGCCTAGAAATTAGTACATAAGTATTTATTAGATGAATAAATACAGTGTGAAACACTTGAAGACGTAGTAAAATCCAGGTCTATAATCACCAAATTCAAGTGTAGCAAGAGATATACCATAAAGGAGGCAGAATCAACTTTCAAAAAACTAATTTTAATCAAAACAAAAATTGTTGATCATTAACAAGTTTATAAAACAGTGATTTAGTTACATAAATAAATTGATATCAGTGTATCAAATCTTAATTACTTTCAACTTCATGAGCATGTTTACATGGGTGATGAAGTACAACCTTTTTTTTTTTCTTTTTACCTATTATAATAAATAAAATGGAGCGCATGAAATAGTTCTTCTAAACAAAAATACCTACAAACATACCTCTAGCATGTTCTCTAATGAAGGGAACAAGAGACACTGGACAACTTTTGCACCAAAACATAAAAATTGCTTTAAAAAGCACAAGGTTACAGAACCATCAGCTAAAGTAAAGACACTATACTGTAACCAAAGTTGGTTTTTAATAATATAATGAACAGTTTGGTAGTTAGATCTCCAGTTTGGTTATTTTAAAGCATTAAGACAAGGCAAGATAGAAGGCTGCTTTTGTTTTGAGTAATTCTAGAGAAAATAAAATATATTTAAAAACAAAAATAAAGAAAACTGAAAAGTAGAACAGTCATACCTACACAACTTTCTGTCCTGCACAAAGTCAAAATACCTATGCAGAATAGACATATAATATATATAATGTTATTTGTGCACAAAGGTTAGCTTATTAGCTCACTGCAAAGGCGTTATGTATCATAAAGTCAATTGTTTTGGAAAACATTTTGCGTTTGTGTCAAAAGGATATTTCTTTTAAGTTTCCTAGGCTAGGAGGCACGAACCCCAGCTCCGGCACACTGTATATTCTTAATGCTAAGGCTTCTGCTCTGGCTGTGTCTTTGTTGTCCCTCTTTCTTCTAGTGCCTGTTACAAGCATGTGTGGTGTAGTGGTTGTTGGTGGTGGTATGTGTGTGTCTTGTGTCTGTGTGTCTACATATATATGTATACATAAGTTGTATAAATATATATACATATATAATTTCTCCCAATAGATCTCAGTCCAACCATGCGATCCAGAAGGTGGCTCTGCATAGATGCCCAGCATGAAGTTCACCGCCTGAGCCAACCCTGAAGCAAGGCGCACTTTTAGTCCTTCTGATAGGTTTTCTCTCAGTTTTTTTGTTTTTGTTTAAAACCAAGCTACTGCAGCTTCAAGTATTTTGCATTACATAGAATATTTTTTATAAATTAGTTAATGTTATATTTTCAATATTCAGACATATACTATAATATATATACAGTACAATAAATGCTCTCATTCTTTTTTTAACTTTTTTGATAAATCCCTGAGAATGTATGTTGACAGTCGCTAAGTTTCCACATGCACAAGCATCGTGTGCCATGCTTCTGGACGAACAGCACTGCGAAGCCACGTGGGTCAGCCTTTTAACTATTAGTATTTCGTTTTGTTGGTTTGTTTAAATATGCTGAAAATGTAAAGATGAGTTACAAAGGAGTAAAGCTGAATCCATTCGAGGTACTTATCACAGGATGGAGGTGTTTTGTTTGGTTTTTAAAGCCATTTCAATTATTTTTTTGAGGCTGTGAACGTATACAGAAAACAGGAGAGCTATGTGGACTTTTGCCACTTGACAACATATACTCAGTGTAAACCAAACCTTTTTAATCTCTCTCTCATACAAAAAAAAAAAAAGAAAGAAAGAAAAAGAATTTAAAAAAATATAATAAAATAAAATAAAAGAAAGAAAAAGGGAAGAAAATTAAGAACATACAAACTTTCACAGCATGACAATTCAGTCTGCAAACGCAATAGAACTATACACATACAATACCGGCGTGGCTCTGTTCTTTAAGTTAAAAAGGGTACAAAGGCAGGCTCAAGTAAAAACAAACATCCCTCCCGCCCCCCCACCCCCATTCATACAAGTTCTATCAACCAAACCTCTCCCGAACCAACATCATCAGTTTCTTTTTGCCTTTGTAGATTTGTTTCAGGTTGTCGATAAACTGTGTAAACTGAATGTGTCCGTCATGTGCCATTAAGAAGGTCTCTCGGGCCTTGCTGAGGAACTCTATGAACTCACTATAGTGCCGAGGACTGATGTGCGTGAGTCGTGAGTGCGTTGTGTTGATGTAGGCTCCGATCGTGGCGTCCAAGAGCTGCCTCAAGGGGGCTTTGTCCAGGGACATGAGCTTAGCAGAGTTCCTCCTCCCATGGAGCCCCACCATGCCAGGAGTGGTCAGAGTGCACCTGCGCAAGATGTCTGACAGTACCGTTGCACACTTGACGCTCTTGACCACCAGAGGTATTATAGCTGCAAGCTCGTTTTTACCAAGGGAGTGGCTGAGTGCACAGGCCCACAAAACATCATTAATGGCAGGGTGTGTGTCCTGATTGTAGCTCAGGTTGAGATGGGTCATAGCCAGGGTGGCCAGCTTGTAGGCCCTCATGGGGTACCCGCGGTGCTCCATGTACCGTGCTATCGTAAAGAGTTGGGTGTAGCTCATGCCGGTTGTAGCAGCGTCGAGAACAATTTGGTACGCCGTCTCAAAGGCTATGTGATCCTTTTCACACAAGGTCAGCGCAGAGAGGGCACAGTTCTGAGGGTCCTTCATCGCACACTGCAATGCGAGTGTCCGGGCACTGCTGGCCAGCTTTTCCTGCTGATGGCAGTCCAGGTGGAGGCGGACAATGGTGCTGTTTGACATCACGGTGGTTGCAACTATACTTGTGGCCTCAGTAGGAGTAAAAAGTGTAAACCAACTCTGCATGATGCTGTCCAGGGCATAAACACCTACAAGGAACACAGAGAATCCCTGTTACTGCCAAGGATGCTGCCTAGAGGTCTGGCCTTATTTCCACTTTATAATCAATGCTTACATTGTTAACCATCACAGGACATGAGCTAGGCCAGAAAATCCTGTAAGGTAATGTGCCTGGGAGCAACCTTTTAGAATAAGGTTATTATAGATTGTTATTCAGTGAAATGCCTGAAAGGAACATGAACTTCCTGTAATACAGAACTAATCCTCTCGGTAGCTGGTATTTGCACTGTGCTGCTTGCCATTTCAAACGATGGCTTTTTGCTAATGAGTTCTAGTTCACTGGGGCCTCCTGTCAGTTACCCAGTACAGAATTTGAGTCAGAAAAACAACAACCATCACCAAAATAGGTACTTTTATGTAGTGTGTGCATGTTTGTGTGTAAGTTTAAAATATACACAATATAAAATTATTAAGACATACAAAGCAGCAGGAAAATGTGACCCATAATCAAGAGAAAGAAGGCAACAGAAGCAGACCTCCAAATGACTCAGATGTTGGAAACAGCTGACAAGGACTTTAAAATATCCCTTTTAGTACACAGACCCAACATGCCTCAACTGTAGGAAAATCCTAAGGGTGAGTGATTTAAAGAGAAGGTACTAACTTCAGAGAAATTAGGTATGTATCTTGGTGCAGGGGAAGAGGAGTTGTGCAGCAGTTCTTAAACTGGTGTTATCTTTGTATTGTTTCACTAAAGCATCACATCAATAATCTAAATATAATTTTTATATTGAGACCTATTTCCCTTTTTCAGCAACAACAAACCATCACAGATTAATGAAAGAAGAATAACAAGAATGATTTTACAGTATCTGCTGTGTCAGTATGTAAATACTGAGGTGGCAGTGTCTTCTCAGCAAGAGGCATGTGTCCTTTTCTGATGCAAACAGGAAGAAAGAAAGACAGTTGAACCAACATTTATTTTCAACAGCCACCATTTTGTTGGTGTGGGCACGCAGGCTGGGAATGTCGTTTTCTTAGCAATGATTTACTGCTACAGAGGGGAAGGAGGTGGCTAAGAGGTCTCACAATTGGCAGCTTATGGACAATCAGGGGATTTTGTCAGGGCTAGCTGCAATTTCTCACACCACTGAAAGCTCACCTGAACCACACCTATTGGTCATTTCCCTGTGGGATACCCTGACATACGCCCTGAGATGAAGAAAACACTCATAGCAACTAGGTATCTCTACATCACTTTCACTGAAATGGACTGAGCCACTAATCCAGTCTCAAGTTAGTTTCAAAGGTGGGCTCCAATCTACCAAGGACTCACTCTGTAACCCTTTAACATAAAATGGTAAACCTGATTATCACAAAAAGTTACTAAAAGTACCTTAATAGTGAAAGAACAACTGGATAAAAAGTGTTTGCTCATTGACCTACTCCATTCAGTAAGAGTTTGGAGTCCTGCACACTTGAGAGTTTGGAAGAAGAGAAATCCAAGTGTGTCCAACTGAAGGCTGGAGGGGCAGGAGCCTTGGAAAAGTCAAGGTGAGAGTGAAAATGTTCTTGTACCTGTAAATGAGGAGTTAAGTCTGACACGAGGTACATGGGAAAGCTCCTCCTCCAGAGTTTACCTACCCACTTCAGTAGCACATGTTACCAGCCACCTGACCATCTCCCGCCGTCGCCAATTTAAGGTTGACAGTGTCATTCGCATAACCTATAAAAGAAGATAGGAAAACAAAACATTTTGAAAGATTATCCCAGGTCAGTGGAAATATAAAACAATTCATTCCAAGGTATAAACTACAAGGCACACTCCCTACTAGCAGGAGGATGGAGAGCCATGTTTAAGGCAAGTTCTGCATATGAATTTGGATTTGTCCATGGCTCCCCTAGCTGGCCTTGTCCCAGCTGGAGGCCCACATTCTACTCCTGGTGGGCTGACAGACCAGATGCGGCATCCTGGACAAGTCACTCAATCACTTTTCTGCAAAATCAGAGGCCGGAGCTGAAACACTAAGCACAGGCCATGCACTATTCTCCCAGCTTTAAAATTCCATGGTTTTAGATTTCTGAGGTTCCTCTCAATTAATTCTGATTAGAAACCCTCAAATGACAAAGAGATATTTAAAAATAATTGTTTTAGCTTTTCTCTCAGTCTCTGGTTGCTCTTATCTGGCAATTACGTAGATAACCACAGGTCTATGGGAAAAAATCATCTTTGGCATCATTAGTAATCTGATTTTGTTTTTTACTTTCTAATAAGAGATCTTAAGATAAAATATCCCTCTGTTCCTGCTTACCCCATTCTTAAGGTTCAGAAAATCTAGGGACATAAGTCTTAAAACCTAGGAAGGCCCTGGGTCCTCAAAGGAATGAGGCAGGGAGTAAGCTCTCAGTGATCTCTCATTTATTCAAAAAATCTGCCAGAATTCCAAATAACCAGAAAATGCACATTAATGTTTTTTTTTCTGCATCATACTTTTAAGAGGCAAACAAAACAAAAATAAGCCAAATAATCAGAATTTATTTTTAAAAAGAAACTTCTAAAATGTCATTTTATTGCTTAAACAAAATAAATCTCTTAGAACCTCTGCTTCTACAATACTATACACAGTGAATGCATGTTTTTGTAATCCATTCTTTGAACTTCACTAATCACTGCAAGGAGACTCCATAATGAGAAAACTGGATTAATCATCTAATCAGGGCATTCTATTCCCCATACTGTGGGTAACTAGGGGATAACAATTTCCTTTACTGCTTTTCATGGGGTATGAGGGGAACAAATGTAAATAGAGATTCCCTGAGAAAAGTAGAAATACAAACTTTTCAGTTCCTGGTTTCTACAGTAATCTTTTCAGAAACTATAAAAAAGCAAATCTTATCTGCATAACTCACCGAGGAGTCCTGGGCAGCACGTCTAAGCGGGCCTGGGGAACGCTGGGACTGGCCCCTGCTCCTGTCACTCCTCCTCTGCCTAACTTCTCAAGGTTATGAAAGAGCTAGAACTGCCCATCTATTATGAAGATGCAAACACCAATACAAATTCATACTTCCTCTCAAAATGTACCTCTAACAACTGAATCTTTACTTAAGCCTCTTATGAGCAATAATTCGTCTCTATTCATTAAAGTAGAAAAGATAACATTACGGCTATAATTAAGAAAGTGATTTTTTTCACTGGAAAGGCACAAATCCGGCTTCTAAATAATTGTAAATACAGCCCTGCACCACAGGCAGAGCTGGTTCGGCTAGGAAGGACCTCAGCTCTGAAGCACATGCTCTCCTGAAAGTCCAACAGATTTGTGACCAAATTCATTTACCTACACTAGAGAAGTCTAAATAAACAAACAGAAAGAACCTTAAGATGCTGCCTTTATTAAGCAGTCCTTGGTACCCCAGGGAAGACCACCAGTCACATACCTGCAGGCCCAGCTCCAGAGACACTTTCAGAAGAGTGATGTCTGGTAAAGTGTCCATGAGAGTTGCTATTTTAAATGCATCCTGGGCAAGCTTGAAGATGTGGGATGAGGAGTGAATGTTTTTCTGGATGGATTCTAATACTGTTTCCAGCCTCCGAACATCGCCTGCAATGAACAAGGCAAAACCAAACCAAACCAAATCAAAGCAAAGCAAAACAAAAAAATCACACCAAACACACACATACAAAGGGAGGTCAAAAGGAAACAAAATTAACAAAGTGTAAGTCAATTTACCTGAAAAGTTCACAGACGTCACAGATGTTACTGTAATGTCTATGAATCTCAGCTTCATTAAAAAGAAACACCGAGACACACCCTCAATGACTGAAAACACATGGACCCGGGACCAACAACATGAGAAAGCAAACAGCTCTCCTAGCTTCTACTTCTAGATGTTTGGTGAGCATTTCAGGGTGAAAAAAATGTAACCACTCTTTTTCATCTTCTGTATCTCAACCACCACTCACACAGCATGGCAAACTAAACCTGAACTCTGCCAGCAGCAAGTTCAATGATGCAGTTAAATGAGGAAAATCCCAGGCTCAAATGAGTAACACATGTTTTGCCTCATAAGCTAACATCTAACGAAAAGTATCCCTTACAACCCGACATTAGCACCATTATTGAGAATTTTATAGCAAACATGACCCTTAAAAGAAAAGGCAAACTAACAAAATAATCATGAGGCCTCAGGACAATCCAGTACCTTTGGCTGCAGTTAGCATGGTGGATGCCAGCTCACACTGCTGGGATTCTATGTGGCTTAGAGTGAACCAGCGAGGGTATCGGTTGGGAACAACTGACGCAATGTGGTGTGGGCGGGTGAGGTCTCCTGTTGGAGCAGTAGATTCCAATACTAGTAACCTGCAATGAGAAGAGACAGGGCAGGTGGCTCCTAGTTATCACTTGTCTATCACCTTGGCCACAGGGACTGGCCCGCAGCCAGAGGAGTGGGTAGATGCTGGGAGAAATGTGCAGTCCTCGTGCAGGAAGAGCTGGTAACGGCTACACTGCTGTCTGGATGCCAAAGTCACCTCATTAATTGCTCATTATCCAAACCTAAGGGATTTCCTTTCGTTAACATCATTCAGAAAATTACGCAGTTCAAGGAAATGAAGATATATAATAATGAAGAAGTTTAAAACTCAGTCTTGATGTTTACCTACTTTTAAATTGAATCTTACCACCCACTAAAAGATAAAAACAACAGAAAACAGACAGTGAATAGGAAGACTGAGAAACCATAGTCAGGGGTCAGTGGACAATTGAGATACACAAGCTTAACTGACTAAAACACAAATAAGAGGGGAAGTAAAACAGAAACGACTCCCTGTCCACCATTCGTCCTTTCTAAACAATTAGCTCCTCACTACTTCAGGCAGTTGTGGTTAGAACATGTCCTATCACACAGATCAGAAGATGACAAAGGCAAACCGTCCAAGCATCCGTCCCGACAGTCTTATATAAATCCCGTGTGATTTCTCACTTCAGCCAGTCTTTGATTAAGAATATGTTGTAGAAGAAAGAATAATTATTCAAAAAAAAAAAAAAAAAAACTATTTAAAACAAAGCACAGTGATCACCTCCAAATATAAGTACCAAAGAGATTGGAACAGTAGCCACAACTGCAATAATTCCTTTACAATCATCAAAACAATGACCTTCACTGAAGTACACCAGTGTTAGGAGCTATGGAATAGAGCTGGAGACCAAGAAGAGTTGCAGGGTCAGGGTGTGAGGCTGGCTGGCCTTGGGGACCCACCCAAGAGCACTTACTGTTCTGCTAAGCCAAATGCCGCATTCTCTTTTCCTTTTATCTAGGGATAAAGAGATGTTACCACTAGAGGGTGGCAAGGTAGGCAATTAAGTAATAAGCATTTTGGTGGGGTTGCTATTTAGCTTAAAATAAATAAAAAAAATCCAGTCCTGGCCAGTTTGGCTCAGCAGTTAGAGTGTTAGCCTGAAGACCGAAGGGTCGCAGGTTCAGTTCCTGGTCAAGGGCACATACCTGTGTTGCAGGTTTGATCCCTGGCCCCAGTGGTAGTCATGTGGGGAGGCGACCAATCGGTGTCTTTCTCATATCTATGTTTCTCCTCTCTCTTTCTCTCTCTCTCCCTCCCTCCCACCCTATCTAAAAAGTCAATGGAAAAATATCCTTGGGTGAAGATTAACAACAACAAAATAAATCCAGAATGTCCCTGTAATTAATAGACAGATCTTTCCAGAGTCATTGTAGAAGAAACTAGCCAATACCCCTGGAAAGATGAAAATGAGTGCTGACAATACCCTCCCCTAGTCCACCACCCCTACTTCCAGAATGACTAAGAAGCAAGTCAGCTACACGTCTCTTCCTTCCTGTTCTCCTGGCTGCCTTGAGACATTCTACGAGGTCATACTACCTCCTTCGATGCAGTTCTTTGGCTGGAGGATGGTAGCAGGAAGAAGAGAAGAGGTGAAAAAGCAATTCCCTTGTGCCCTGCTAGTACCCCATGAACAAACTGCCTGGGCAGCAACCAAGGGCAATGACAAATGAGTTTCTGAGTGTTAGCCTAAGCATAAGCCAGACCCACAGAGAAGCCTTATGCTATTTTCCTCTTATACTTTACAGTGGTCACAGCAACGGTATCTGGCGGCATCAGAACATTAGCATCCTTCCCTTTACACTGGAGCAGAACTCTTAAATTTTAATAGGTACAGAACTGAGCATCTGTCTTCATCTGACAACTTCCATTTTAGCTTCCAAAAATGGGAATAGGAACTTACTAATAATTGTGCTTTAAAATACAAACCAGCCCTGGGCCAGTTTGGCTAAGTGGTTATAGCATCAACCTATAGACCAAGGAGCCCCAGGTCCGATCCCTGGCCTGGTTGGGGTGCATGTGAGAGGCAACCAAATTGATGTATCTCCCCCCCCCCCCTACACTCTCTCTAAAAATCAATGAAAAAATGTCCTTGGGTATTAACAAAACAAACAAACAAAAATAAAACAAGTGGTATAAAATAATTTGGTGGGAAACTTTTGCTTATGTTAGTTTTAAATTTCTATTTTGGTATTTTAAAAATAGATGAGAGAACTTACAAGGTTTCTCTGGTAGATAAATGAGGCTTCACATTGCCAAAAGAAAGCATGTCAAATTAAAGGATGTCAACCTCAAAACACACTGATACACACCCCTATCACTGCACAAAAAGAGGCCTTCTGAGAGATAAGCACACATTAAAAGGTAAGAACTTGTTTTTGAATCCACTATACTGGTTGCAGACAAAGAATCTTTAATGAAAAGCTTCTATTGGACCAAACTGTTCTCTGACACCTCAACCTTTTAGGTTATGGTCATGATTTGTCTTTAGGTGACTATAATGAGGTCCAACCTGCACCTTAACATAGAGGGTTTTAATTTTCTTTAAAAAAGGAAAAAGCTCATGTTTTAAGAAAGGTGGGTATTTCTTTCAGGCCCTTAAACTTCAGTAGGCTACAAATAAGGCCGACAAATACAATGTTGAATTCGTTAAAAAATACTCACCAAGAATAGAGTCACAATAAAAATAACTATTTGGTGAACGGACTTTTAAAAGAAAAGTGAACACAGAAAGGTCAGTGGCTGAGAACAGCACACTCGAACTGCATTACTGAAAAGGACTGGAGAGGAATGGAGGCGGTTGGTGCGGAGGCGAGCAGGCGCTGGCAGACCCCACGGCGATGCCTTCACTAGAGACAGCCCCATCTTCCGTCACCCTCCGCTGGAGCGCAAAGGTATCTGGGTGATACGCTGGCCTTCCTGCACTACTGACGGAATGTGAAATTAGAGCAGGTGTGAAGGGCTCCCTCAATTATCATATGCAGTCAAGTATACTTATTATTTACCACTGTTTCAAAAATCTAATTTTTTCAAAACAATTCATTATTTAGGAAGACTTCAACTGTTGCTCCCATGTGGTTAGACTTGGCCTGAAATTGTTCTCTATTCCCAAATTCTAGCTTCAAGAAAAAGTAGAAAGAAGCCACGGTGAGCATGACTGACAGCAGTCAAGGATACCATCCTTCCTTTACTTTAAACAGAAGCCAAACAAGCCCACGAACAAACCACTACTCAATCCGAGAAGCATATAAATAAATATGTTCTTTAGATTTTTCTGCTGCCTACAAGAAACATGAATGAATGAGAAGTCAGTGAACAGCCATTCCTCCCAGAGGAGGTCTGGATTGCGTCTGCCCGGCTGGGCTGTGAATACGTACCGCATTGCTCTCAGTGCAATTTTGTATGCCAATTCAGCATCGTGAGGTAGGAGAGAGGTGAAGAGATACTTGGCAAATGTGTGCATTGGAACACTCTCCCGATGGATTATTTCGCCTAAACCACTATATGGTCCGGCTGTGGGAAGAGAGCATACACATTTTACATTCCTAAAAAAGGAACTATGACTTCTTGTAAAGTATATCTTAAAATCGTTATATAAAGTTATAACATATACAAGCTAATCTAGTTAAGAATGTAATCTAAGTGACATAGTAGAAAGAATACAGATTCTTAGTAAAAAATGATTGTACAGGATATGGTGTCCAATATGAAATTTACTTCAGGAACAATCCCCCACAGCTAAAATGAGAATCATAGAACTAAGGGCAGAGCTTTTTCACATTGTAACTGCTTCAGAGAAAGAAACCTTCCAATGCAGAAAATCTCCTGAGTTCCCAAAACATCCTCTGTCAGTGTGTATGTCTGAGCTTCAGATTTTCAAATGCAGGTGACTCCTCAGCTGAACTTTGGAACCTGCTCCTGGTGGTCTCAGGGGCACACACAAGCCAGGGTTCCAGAAAAGGGTGCTTTGATGGGTGGGGGAGGATTCTGAACCACAAATCCCAGTACAAAGACTTTAAATATTTTTCTTCTAATAAGCAGAAATAAATACTGATTCTCAGAAAGTGACTATTAATAAAAGAATAGTTACCCATTTGATACTCACCGTAGGCAAAAGAAAAAAAATTAAAGTGACTAAAAATTACCACTTTTTGGGCTCCAAAAGACCAGTTTTAAAAAGTGAAATTACATGTAAGCCATCAAAATCCCTTTCTTAGTAGTTATGACAGGAGTGGTGGTAGAGCAAACTGCCCTGTGCTCTCTGAATGCTGCCATAGGAAGGGCGATACAGACTTTCAAGATAAATGTTGAAAGGAAACCACAGTGTTTAGTTCAACTACTTTCCACTTACGTAGTTTGAGGTTTAGTACTGTAAAGTGTTTAATAAATTAGTTTCCATGTCACCTTTAGGTAAAAACTGTTTCATGACTTCTAGAATTATGAACTATGATAGTACTGCTCAAAGGACATAATGCATTTGTCTTCCCTGAGAAAAATCTGTCTGGCAGTTTAGAATGCAAGAAATGCAGTTCAGAAGAAACTAAGAGGAGTTACTAAATTGGGGGGGGGGGGGGCATTACACATTATAGATCATTTTAATAGAGGTTATTTTTAAATTTCATTAGCATTTTTGAATTGTTCATTATTTAAGTGCTTAGAAAAAATCATACAGTAAACAACTTCTTTTTGTTTAACCTAGGAAAATTAAAATCCATCCTAGATTTCTAATGTTATCAATTAATCTTTTTCTTGTGTTTAAGATATTTAAAAATGTTTCAGTGACCTGATATTCTTTAAAAGGTGAGATAGCATTATAGTTCCATCTTTAGTTCATATAATGAGGCCAACTTATTTAGGTTATTATGAACTGAAAGTTTGTATCTCCTACCCCAATTTGTTATGTTGAAGCCCCAACTCCCAATGTGACTGCACTTGAGGAAAGGGCCTTCATGAAGATAATGAAGGTTAAGTAAGATTAGAGGGTGGGGCCCTGATCCGACAGGATTAGTGTCCTTACAGGAAGAGACATAGCTGACTCTCTCGCACCATCTCTCTCTCCCTAAGGCAGCTATCTATAAGCCAAGAATCTCACCAGAAACTGAATTAGCCAGCACCTGACCTGGGACTTTTTAGCCCCCAGAACTGTGAGAAATAAATTTCTATTGTTTACGCCACCCAGTCTGTGGTAATTTTGTTATGGCAGCCTCAACAGACTAAAACACTAACTCTATTTTACCTAAGGATTAAATATAGCAAATTTGTAGATTGTCTTCTTCATTTCTCTTCTATTTCATTCCATTGTTTCCCTTAAATATCAACCTACCTGTTTTCACTATGCGGGCAAAGCCAAGATGCATAATGAACACTTTGTTATGACACCTCCCGATAAGCAAAACATTCAGTCAGGTATCACAGAATTATTTGTGGTTTTATAATCAGTGTAATCCCTACTCCAATGTATTGAATAATGAAAGACTGAAATCTGGTACTATGTTCCCCATAAATACTTTTCCAACATGCCAATTGATCCAATTCGCCAAGATTGTGGCCAGAAGTAATTAATGCTCAGCGATAATACAGGGTTATTGCTTCCCCTTTTCAGACACCCGAGTCTGCTAACTATTTCATCCTGGAATTCCTAGTATAAATGCATAAAGAACTTGGTGCCTCAGTGCAGTCAACTCAACCATGAAGTGCTTATCTTCTGGAGTTGACAGAAATGGTCCCTTGGCTTCCCTGTTGGTCTGTTTCCTGTCCTGCACCACCCACTCTTTGCAGGTCTAGCAGGGTCGGGAAAGGAGTGAAAGCTGGGATGAGTCAACAACACTCTTTATCAGGCACAGTTCTTATAAAAATGTTTAATGGGGAGGTATTAACTAATCAAAGACTAAGACAGTTAAAAATTATTCGCGAGTAACGAACATGGAGAACATTTAAAAGAGTAAATGATGAGCAGATATCAGACACAATCAACACCAAAAAGCACACACCCTCTTCCTATCCTTCCATAGACTGGAAGCCAAAAGTCAGTTACAAAGAACCAGTGAGAGCATAAAAAGAGCTTGTGGCTAACGATTCCGCTTATCTCAAAAGAAATTCTGAGAGGAAAGTATAAGAAAACAGTAATAAAAGAATCAAGATCAGCTGAAGTTGCCACAAGACAGGCTTTTATGTTTAGAAGAAAAAGAAATTTTAGGAGAGTGCTTCAAAAAATTAATATTAGGAATTTTTACCAAAATTAAGCATGCTATTAAAAACATTTTCCCTTTAAAATGCATTGCTAAAAACACATAAATATATAATGTATTTGGTGAAAATGTTTTCTTTCAAACAGATCTTTAGCTTGGGACATATAAAAGAGTTTTTGAAATGCTATTTTCTCTAAGTCCCTTCCCCATCTGAAGATGGAGACACCACACTGTACGAGCCTACCAATCACAGAGACTCGCACAATAACAAACATGTACGTGAGAGATAGAAGTAATTTTATCAATTAGATATCACCTAAATTTACACAAAAGATCAGGCTACTATACTAATTACACTTAGTCTTTTTGAGAAAAAAAAAAAACAAAAAACTTTTAAAACAATGCCAGCCAAAATTTGTTAGGCTCTTTAGCTCTTAACCTTATAAAAAGAAGAAAATTGGGCTTTGCTTTAGAGAGTCTATGAAACTTTAGCTTGCTGAATCTAATCGCAATGAAGTCTCTGAAATACTCACTCAGCACGTGGAGATTCACCCTGCAGCTTTCAGTCCTTTGTTAGCATGTGCAAATGACATACACATGCAAAGCCGAGACATCATGCAACAGCCAGTAATTTAGAGGAATGCCGATCAATTTCCATTTTATTATTTAATTGATCAAGCAAAGAGGAACACGGCTACCAGTAATAGCTCACTAAATATCAAACTTGCATTTATCTCAGGAACACCAAGTCAAAATAAAAATAGTTCTTTTCAGAGCTTGTGGCATCAAATGGGACTCATTTCGAATAGGCTATCCTATGTGACCACCTAAATCAAATGATATAAATTTAAACATCTGTATTTTTTTATTAAGTGATACTATATTTGAATAAAAAACATGCCTATGACACTCACTGACCATACCACCAGGATAACTACCATAATCAAATACATTCCAACAGTACTCCCAACATAAATAAGTGTTTCCATTAGATAAGTGAAAAACCTCTTCATTAAACTACCTTCTAATAGGAAGACTGCTTGCTTGCGAAAAATTTTCACCAGTGTGTCATCCAATTCAATTTCCTGAAGCTTGGAAATGAGCTGTTCCTCATTCCGGCAAACCTTCTCTTGTGTGTACAGCCCGTCGGGCATGATACGCTGCTGTCCCAGCCCTATTAGGGCTACTTCCACAGCCAGTGTTAAATAGGATTCCCCTTCTTCTAAGAATTTGTGTGCAGGCAGATGCTGGTATTCCAGAGATTTGCCCTGTCCCATATTCTCTGTAAAATATCACAATAGAAAACAGAATTCAGAAACCACTTTTTCAGGTACAAATATTTACTTTACAAAGGTACTTATAAATGAAGTATTGACTTAATTTCAAGAAGACCAAAAAACAAGTGCATAGTTTTCCAATATCTTTTTTAAACTGTGCCTGAATGACTAATTGTGTATGTTTTGTGAATGCTACAAATATTTTTCTCCCATTTAAAATGAATCACCAAAGAAAACTATAAATCTAAGAAGAGATAAGAATATTTAAGAGTGAAGAAAGATTTTAATTAAATAAGTATAAAATTATATGATAACTGCAATAGTTACCAATTCTTAAAAACAAAGTTTGCATACTTTTATTGCAATGTTAAAATTTATAATGAAAACAGTAGAAAACACATGTGACCCAATTTCAAGGTCTTTTTTATTATCAAAGAAGTCAGAGTTATCACAAGAATAATGATTCTTTGAGCATTCTCTTATCTCTGTTGTTTCTATTAGAAACTTTAACAAACTTCAACCACTGAACTCCCAAGGAAAGCACACTCATAGTCACACCTTTCCTCTTCCTGAAAGAGTTTTTGGTCACCCATAATCCATAAAGGTAACCGCCACAGGAGAAAATATGGAGGGGAAGCTAATGAACCCTCTGAGCTCACCCAGCCATGGGAGAAGCAGAGGGACACTCCCCCCTCCCTCCACATGATGCACATCCTTATTTTACATCTCTATGCTGGAGAACAGTCTTAAATGCAAATAAATTCTTAGATGCACAATCACTGACTAGAAGACAATATTTTTAAGGTTCTTTACACATGCTATCAACTGTCAAATCTAAGCCTGCCTGAAAAGCGTAAGAGTGTCTATTTCCTTGCTCTCTTGCTAGCGGTAGGTATTGTTAGCTGTATGGATTCACAAAACAAACTGTGAAGAAAAATAATGACCGATGTCATTCATAGTTTAGAAAAAAAGGCACACGAGACAAAAGTCAATGGTTTTACCTGTGAAATTGGAGAATCCAGGGAAGCTTTCATCATCCATGCGGCAGGCTTCCATAAGGCTGCTGAAAAGAGTGCCCACAGGGTCCAGAGGGTGTCCAACCCAGCCCTCCAGATTGGTTATAGCAGTCATGCTTTTATGGGGCAGCTCTGTGTAACAAAGAGAAGTGAGATGGAAAGAGTAAAGGGAAGAGAGGCTTTACATTTAATAGCAGCATCCTGACTAATGCTGAATTTAATTAAAAAACAACAGTACATATAATCCCCAACTTGTGGACTAATGTGAATTCTGAAGATTCATCTGTAAATCAATATAAATGGTACTAACCTCCTAGGACAGCTCCCAAATATCTGTTTAATGCATGTGTCCAGGGCACTGGGTCATCATTACAACTTACACTTTTCTCACCTGAGAAGCTAGGGACAATTCCCCTCACTTCCTGGAGTGACATTAAAGAGGACTAATGTAGCCCCAGAATCACCAATGGATAACTCCACAATTATATTGAGAAGCTACTCCAAGTCGGAGCTCCCTGGATCATCTGACCCGGAGAAGACTCAAAGGCAGCTGTGGCCTGGGTTAGACTTGGACTCCCCCATGAACATTAATTACTACCTTACTTCTCTATCACCTCATGAAAATGTTCTTTATCACAGATCAATAAGCCATTTAAGGGAGGACATTTGCCACAAAGAGGAACCACAGCAAAAGATAACATAAAATTTGGATGAAACATATCCTTTTCATTTTTTTTCACAGAATGTGAGCTCTTTCCCGTTCCCAAGTTAAATTACAGCATGCTGAAAAAAGCTGCAAATATTTTAAAAGACACATTCCACTGTTGTAAAAAATGCAACATTTTATATCTTAGTGTTTACTAAAGTAATAAATAGTAGTAGCTCCTTCTTAAAGGAAAATATATTAAAATCTATATACAATATAAAATATACAAGGAAAAAATTGACTTGTAAATTGCTAAAGAGCCTTCCATGAATCCAATATTCCTTTAGAAATTTTTTGGTTTTGGACTATCAACTATCAGTACATAAAAATAAAGCATGGCCTGTCATGATGTATTAAAATTTATAAAAGTTTGGTCTTAGATTCCTTGGAATGGCTTTTCCTTTTGGTTTCTATCAGTGGTTTTCATATACATAACCAGTATGAAAAAAGAAATATGAGCATTACTCTTAGGAACAACCAAATACATACACTTGATAGGAATATACATATGATGAAGGGAAGTGTTGTGCTCATACAAATACATCTACTGTCAAGTGATGGAAACTGAGAATAAAATTTTACAAAGTATTTCCTCTTTGTAAAGTATTTCCTTTATGTCCTTTCCTTTAAAATAAAATTAGTGAAAAAACACAGAAATGGGATAAATAAAATTTAAAAAGTAGTTGTTTTTTTTTAAATTGAGAAGTTGAAATGAAATAAGTCAGACAGAGAGAGACAAGTACCATATGATGTCACTTATATGTGAAGTATTTAAAAAAACTGAGCCCCCAGATATAGAGAATAGATTGGCAGTTGCCGGAGGTAGGGGGATGGGTGAAATAGGTGAAGATGGTCAGAAGGTACAAGTTTTCAGGTATAAAATAAATACTCACGAGGATGTAATATACAGCATGGTGACTATAGTTAATAACACTGTATTGCATATTTGAAAGTTGCTGAGAAAAGATTTTAAAACTTCCTCATCATAAGAAAAGTATTTAGTAACAATATGTAGTGATGAATGTTAACTAGACTTATTGTGGTGATCATTTTGAAAAATATAAATATTGAATCATTATGTTGGATACCTGAAATAATGTTGTATGTAAATTATACTTCAATTAAAAAATAGAAGCTGACATATCATGCCATATAGTATTAAAAATGTACAAGATAATTCATTTACCAATCTTGACCATGTAACAAGTAACTGTTACTGCAATGTGGAATTATAACAGCCATGATAAACATATTCTTTAAATACAGACAGACAAAAGAGCAGGAAATGATATAGGTATATACATATAATCCCAGTAATACCTGAGAATAGTTTGAAATAAAGGTTTCATTGCTCCCAGGATAAAAGAGAAATGTGTCTAAGAGTGGGCTCAAAGATAACCAAAGGAGTCTAACTGAACATGTATGCTAACTTACCTCCATGAACTAACATTTTTATACTGCATTTCTTATATATTGCAGCATTTTTTTTTTTTTTATCCTCACCCCAGGACATTTTTTTTGCATTTATCTTCAGATAGAGCAGGAGGTAGGGAGGAATGACGAGAGAGAAACATCGATGTGAGAAAGACACATCAAGTGGCCGCCACCCACATGACCCCAACCAGGGCCGGGGACAAACTGCAACTGAGGTACGTGCTATGCCCTTAGTGGGAACCAAACCTGGGACTCTCCGGTCCGCGGGCTGATGCTCTAACCGCTGAGCAAAACCGGCCAAGGCTGCAGTATTTTTATTAAACTGATTTTTAAAACATTTCTTAGTAAAAGTTGTGATTTTTAAAGATCATATAATCATAAGCTAGCTCTCTCTTTGTAGTATAAAATGTGCTTCATTCTCTTAGCTTGAATATTATACTTTAAATACCTTTTGGCCAGATATTATATGTATTTAGGGGAAGAGGATTTCAGGAAAAATTTCCAGAGGGCCACACAGCATATTTTACAAACACATCTGGTAACTATTGATGATGTGAAGAACATGAAAAATTGAACAGTCATGATTATCAGGGATATTTTAATCCAATCTCATCTGAGTTCCCCTTTCTTTGATTCAAATTGTACCTTTTGCATTTTATTCCATCAAATAACTGATAATGTTAACATTTATAATACTTTCAACATTAAAAATATTAATAGTACAAAAACTTCAATTCAATCTCCAGCCTATTTTAACAACTTTTGATAATTTATAGCTGTATCTAGGTGAAGCATGTATAATCACCTAAGAATTAAAAACAAAAACATATAAAGAAAAAAAAAAACTACAGTAACTAAAAGTATCTTTCTGAATAAGAAATAAAATTCCAGAGTAAATACAATCCTGCAAAGAAACATAAAAAGACCTGTATCTATAGAAGGAACAAGAAGTGAATGGATTATCCAGAAAAGACTTATATATTTTTTTTCTGATCAGAGCTTCAATCAGGTAATCTGACCCTCTGAACTATTACTCAGTAATGCCTAATATAAAATTTAAAAGATTAATAAACTGAGATGAAGAGAAGTTAAATGTGTTCTGTCAGCTGACAGTTCATCAAATGTTACTTACAGATTTTAAAAAATCCAGGAGTTCTCTGTTATGATCACTTTAATAAATGTCTTTATGTACAAATTATTACAAGTAAAAAGTTTTAGAGTGATTACACACTGTGCCAGGCCCTGCTTTAAGTGCTTTACAGGATTAATAATCTTCTCAAGAATTCTAGGAGATAGGGCCTCAACTGAGCCCCATTCCACAGCTGAGGAATCTGAATCATAGAAAGCTCGTCACTGCCCAAGGACTCCCAGTTGGGACCGACTGCTAGGATTCAAACATAGGCAGTCTACCCCCAAGAAACCTACTGTTAAAATTAAAACACACTTTCACAAATCAGTTATTTAGCTAACTTAGTTTTAGATAATTTAGATATACTAAATAGTTACTCAAACATTAACAACAAAAAATTCTCTCCCTTAAAAAATTAACTAGCCTGAGATATTTTTTAAAAAATCTTACTTTTTACAATATTAGACCAGGAGACAAAATACCTACAATTTCCCACAAATCAGCTATTAAATATTTCAAATGAGTGGTAAGTACAGCCATCCCCCTCACTCTAATTTTAAAAGCCATCTCTCCCAAAAGAACACAAAACCTAATGATGTCATCACCGAGAATCCCATTTCAATGGAAACAAACTCCTTCACAATCACCTTTTTTTTGAGTTCGGAACATTTCCAACTGTTTCTGTTGTTGTCGTCTTAACGTGTTAACAATAGCTATTGCCAGTCTCAGTGCTTCTCTGGGGTACCCATGAGAACGTAATGCGTCCACTCTTGCACAGGCTGTAGGAACATGTTCTAAAATAGAAAGTAAAGGAGGGAAAGTTGCCATTGTCAGGTATGTCCATAAAAACAGGATTTCATAGTAAGATGTTTTCCCCCAAAATACTATTAAAAAGACACAAGAAACCATTTCTGAACTTGGATTTGAATGAAAAACTCAGCTCCTATTGCCAAGCATTCATCCATCTCCCATTGAATTCCTCGTCTCTCCTCCTCCCACTCCAATAATGCTATAGAAACTAAACAAAGAAGTAAGTCATGGAAATGTCTTTCCGGTTTGGGCACTTACCATGCCAGAGGGGCCACCCACGGGAGTCAAAGAGGGAGTTTTCAGTGTCGTCATGGTAACAGTAGTTGGTGTATAGGTCACTGCTGATAATGTGCTGCAAGTGGCTATCCTGCCAGTGGAGATCACATGCCTCGATGGCTCGGGTGAACACTGTCCGATGTGGCCTGTTCGATGAATCTGTTTTTCCACAATTCAGAAAGCCATGTCAGCTATTATTCATATGTGAATAAATCAGTCATACCACTCTGCGGCCAGATGTTCATGAGCAAACCCACACACATTGTCCTCGCCCCCTAAGCAGAAGGATGGAGGGTGAATATTCTCATGTCCTAAGTACTTAGGAGGCAAATCAGCCCAAAGAGCCACCATTCACTCACTTGTTTTATCCACACAAACACTCGGCAGCCATCAAGCTAAGGTTAAAGGCATCCTGCAAAAAGAACTGTCGTCTAATTTCCATGCCAAATACACTCAAAGGAGGCACTCGGCACAAAAACCACATGAAAACTCACTGCTCCCCACTTCTGAGGTGCTGTGGTGGGCTGCCCTGATGGGATCAACAGCTCTCACAAACACTATGCAAGAGATGTGACACCAGCCATGGAACCTTTCAGGAAGACGCAATCAGCCTTTAAAGATATGTATAAGGGTTGTGCTTTTGGTTGTATTTTTTAACTATATTGTGCGGTTTTGCACAATTAAAACTATTATGCTTCTTGGGATATAATGATTAAATTCCACTTTATATCCCAAAGGGCATAAATGCATATATTTAACATTTCACAAAGCCACACAACATAGCTACAAAACAAACCAGCGCACTTACCTTGCCCCTACAGGCTGCCTCCTGACTCCTGTGCAGGTTCCATGACTGGTGTGATGTCCCCAGCATAGTGTATGCCGGGCATCACAAAAGAGCAGAAGCATACACTCCGAGGAGGGTTCAAGTTTCAGGACCTGACGGAGAAAAAAAATGTTTGGGGAATAAAGGATATTCTCACCCCAACTCCTGGGAATATTTAGTTGCTCTGGATTACACGGTTCAAATTCTACCTGCACTCCCACCCTTTGTGTCCCCACTCCAGACTTACCTTCAATTATGGCACAGACTTAGTGAGCTCAACTGAAAACCAAGGGAACGAACTATTTTTATTAATGTGTACTTAGCTCAAATATCACCCTCCCTGTTCTGAGGCTTAATTAAATGAGAAGCAAAATCTGGAGCTTCCGTAGTTGATAATGTTTCACCTTCCTATCACTGGAGCTTTGGCTAAGCACAGACATAAAGGTATTCGTAAAAATAAAAAATGAACTGAATCAAGAAGAGCTCCAAGAACTCATCTAATACAACCCCTCTATTCTGCTGATGGAACTGAAAATCAAGAGAAGTAAAGTGACTTGCCAAGGTCACACAGCCAGACAATGGCAATCAAGATTAAAACACAGATATCCTCACTCCAAGTTCACCTCTTTCAGCTGTGCGGAAAGGCTTCTGACAGGTCTTTAACAGAGAAAAACTCTACTTTGGCTTGGTCTCAAGTCAACTTAGGTATCTGTATTTACATAGCAGACATATCAAAATGCATACATGACATAATTTAAGAGGCATAAATACTGACGTATGTGTTATGGTCCTTGCCCCAGACCCCTTGCTAGCAGTTTTAATTGTACACCTTTCAAATGGGAAGAGTAGGCCTTATTATTTAAGGGCCTTTTTGAACCTAGCAGGACTTTTGCTGAGCAGAATAAATACATTTCTAATCAATAGGGAAATGGTTCCATCACCTCTCACAGTCAATTGATCAAATATTCATTCCAAAGTCCACACATTTTTAAGTGCCTTTGTCATTTTATTTATTTTGTTTAGCTCAAATCAAAGAAGTAGAATTTAAAACTAAAAGATTTTGAAAGAGCAACTTAATGTTATGCAGGTATTAAAATAAGGAGAGTCTCCCTGTTGATTTGGTTCACTGTGGTATCAATAATAGAAGCAAGCTGTAGACTAGGATTCCATTAAAAAAATAAATAAAAACCAGTTGTTAGCTCTAAAAGAACAATAAAACCAAATGCAATAAAAGTGGCTAAATACTAATAAAATAATATTTCAATGAAAATGTAAGACAGAAAGCTCTATAATAATATGGCAAACATAAAAAATTGATTATGAATGTATATGAGGACTAAAAAAGTAGAAAGTAGGTTTGGAATAGGTGTTAAAATATGGTCAATTTTTATCTTAGATGTCTGTGGCTTTCCAGCTTTTGCAATTAAAGTAGATAAAAGTGAAGCAGATGACCTTAACCAAAATTTCTTTTTTTTTTTTAATCCTCATCCGACGACATTTCTCCATTTTTGTTCAGATAGAGTGGGAGGGAGAAAGAGGAAGAGAGAGAGGGGGAAACATCGATGTGAAAGGAACACATCTAGTAGTTGCCACCTATATGACCCAACCAGCGCTGGGGACAAACTGCAACCGAGGTACATCCCCTTAGCAGGAACCGAACCCAGGTCTCTCTGGACCACAGGCCGACGCTCTAACCTCTGAGCCAAACCGGCCAGGGCCTTAACCAAATTTTTAAAATAATAAATAGATTCGTAAAAATTTTAAATAAAGTGTGTGAATATTAATACACACTGATTAAAGAAAATCTGGGAAAATCCGAAAGGTAAAAAAGGAGAAATCAGTTCCTTTATCAAAAAAATAAAAAATTGGCTATCATCGTGGTATATTTTAAAGCGTCAAATACTCTTTCAAAGGGTATGGATTCTAATACTGTTATTGTTGTTAATTAATTCTAACAATCTCGGCAAAGACAGGGCCTGATTTGCCCTGCACGGTCACTTTGAAGTGCCGGCACATGCACCTCTGCCCAGCTGCGGTGGCACTGCTGGCTCCGCTGGCCTCGGCAGGCTCTCCCCCAGCAGCCTGCTCAGCTCCCCTCCGACAACCCCCTCCGACAACCCCCTCCGGAGGATGCATTATGCTAAAAGCAGGAGCCCTGGTGCCTTTAGGCACAACAGCTATAAATATTGCCCTCAGAAACTAGGTCCTGACTTCATACCCTTAGGCCAAACCATAAATAAAATAAATTGTTTCATCTGGAGGCTGGACCATGGTTTAAGGACATTCTGAAGCCAACGGAATATTCCTGTTTAACCAAGGGGAAAGTTACCAAACGGAAAGTAAAAGTAAGTGTGAAATGTCAGGAAGGTGCTCCCAAAAGGCAGGTAGAGAATGAAACAGAGAGAAACCTCCAAATATAAAAAAATAGATTAATGACAGTGCCTGTAATCAGCGGTTCTCAACCTGTGGGTCACGACCCTTCTGGGGGTCGAATGACCCTTTCACAGGGGTTGCCTAAGACATAACAGTAGCAAAATTACAGTTATGAAGTAGCAACAAAAATAATTTTATGGTTGGGGGTCACCACAACATGAAAAACTGTATTAAAGGGTCATGGAATTAGGAAGGTTGAGAACCACTGGATAGATGTAGGCATACCCTTTCTAGCAATGAAAAAGAATAAATGGTGAATTGCTAAACTTGAAAATTCTGAGCTTCTGGAAAAGAATTTGGAGTATAAGGGGTACATTTATTTTCTTCAAAGTTATTAAAATCATGAGCAATAAAGATATGACAGATTTCAAATACTGAATTCCCAAGGAAAATATCTCTAGACAAAGCAGAGCCAGCCAATCATCTTTCCCAAGTCCTAAAACTTCAATCTTTTTCATTGGACAAGACTCTATGGAGTAATACATGTAATTTTCTTTCTTTTTTAATCCTCACCCAAGGACATTTTTGCATTTATCTTCAGACACAGCAGGAGGAAGAGTGGGAGGAAGAGAGAGAGAAACATTGACGTGAGAGAGATACAACTGACTGGCTGCCACCCACAAGACCCCAACCAGGGCGGGGACAAATTGCAATCCAGGTATGTGCCCTTAGCGGGAACCAAACCCAGGACTCTCTGGTCTGCGGGCTGACACTCTAACCACTGAGCCAAATTGGCCAGGGCATCTTTCTTTATAGAGACTGAAAACACTATGCTAACTCACATTCACACTCAGCACACTGTCCAGCTCTTCCAGAAGTACCAACTCCATATGGGGCCAGCACACACAGAACGACAGTAGAGATTTGGGATCCTTCTGATGTCAATTAACTCTCGCCTTGCATCTATCATAACTTTAAAGTCTTTCAAGTTTTCTCAAAAACAAAAAAAGGAGGCAATAACACAAAATCACACAGAAATACTAACATGAATTAGTGAATAAAAGTTTTATTTGCAAGCATTAACTACTTTAAGGATTTGGTTCTGAAATAGAGAAGAAAATGCCGCAGTAGCTGGAGAAAGAAAATGAGGCCAAGGAGAGAGATTTTTTTAAAAAAATATGAGAGAGACTTAAGCTAAATGGGTGGATCCAACAGAGAGAGAAGTTTGGGGGCGGGGGGGAAACCCAGGATGGAAATGAGTAACAGAGGTTCTTCAAAGGACATTTGGAAATGTCTGTGTGTATTTCTTAGTTGTCTCAAAGTAGAGGGCACTATTAGCCTATACAAGGTAGAAGTATGTATGCTAGACAATCCTTCACAATCAATAATTTCCTAGCCCAAATGCCAACAGCACCCCATGCCCTTCCAGCCCAGTCATAAAATGCTTACTCGCTACATTCTAAAACTAAGAATTTTTAACTGATTCAGTTACATAGTAGCCCAAATGTGAACTGACCAAGAGATAAAAACACACAGCTGCTCAAGCTTAATATTACAAACCTATACCATGATTTATTAAACTAAAAAATATTCAAATGAAATAGTTTTAATAAGCAATTTTATATACTATATAATTTTATGTAATTGTAAATAACCCATACTAATACATATTAGTATTACATCCATCTGTATTCTGAAAATATGAAAAAAAGCACACAATAGTCTTAGGTAAAAATTTAAGTATACATTCACAGTCAAAATATATTAAAATCCTTGAGTTATAGTAAGTTCTTAAGTGGAGAAAATTATTTTCCCACACATATTGTAAGTTACTGTTATAAACCTATGTGCACAATTAGGTAGATACAAAGTGAGCAGACTACTACTGTGGACTCACCTTGGTTGGCGTTCGCACCCTGAGGCAGAGCGTTGGTTAAGTTGGGTAATTCACTGCCATGATTTCCATCTTCCCATGGACAGACATCAACACTGTTCCACTTTTTCAGCTGTTTTAGCCAACTGGACTTCTGTTCCAACTTGCAGTGGGGATTTAAAACTATACACATCCACAGAGCACCTAATTTAAAGGGAGAGAGAGAAGTAAATTTCTAAATTTATCACAATGTCCAGTTCTAATAGCTAATGATCTATTTTAAACCATTTCAAAATAAATTCCAAACCTACCATTTTTACAACTCAATTCTCCCTTTAATCCAAGCCACAGATCTCATGCAGAGTTAATGGAAGGACAACAGAGTCTGAATTTGAACCAAATATCCAAACACTATTTGTTACTAATAAATATGAAAGATATTTCAAATGTTTATTGTTAATTATCTTCCTACTTGTGTGACATTTTAGACAAAAAGTCAATAAAAAATACAACCCTAAGGTCCAATTTGCCACTTTAATTTATAAACAGATTTTATACATGGATTCTGCAACACACCACTCTAAATAATTCTTTTGTGCAAAAATTAAATTACCCTCTAAGATTACTATTATGCAATGAAATCATAAAGGCATACAATAAACACAAACAATTTCCTAGTTTGTATATAGGCATTTCAAACTTTATTATGTTTGTTAATTAGTGTGCATATCTATTATATCAATAACCTTTTAAAGGTAAAATTCACTTACACATACTTCCCTAATTGATTTAACCAGAAACTAATCTTCATATAAATCACTAAATTTATATCTTTATGTGAATGAAATCGCTAAACATTAATCAAAATTTCACTTTTCAAAGTAAAAGCCAAAAGGAATTTAGAAAACATAACTCATAATTTAAATTAAGAAGTAGCTAATTCAAGTAAATATTTCACAAGTTTTTAAAGTTCAAGTTTTTCTTCACCAATTTCAAAACAAGATAGATACTAATACTTCAAAGCCATTCACATTTTCTTTGAAATGGTATGTGTATGCATGTCTGTATTTTAATCAATTGTTTAAATGAATAAAGATAAGAATGGTCATTGTTTTGTTTGTGCAAAAGAGATGCTTTACATGCTTCCACATTTAAAATTAGCAAGCTTCTTCAATTAGAAAATCTGGTATTTTAAGTATCAACTAACTTTTACCATCAGAAAATAAAAGTGGCCACAATCTATCTAAGCCACAGATACATATACATATATATATATATATATATATATATATATATATATATATGTATGTATGTATGTTTGTTTTTAACCTCAACCAAGGACATTTTTGCATTCATCTTCAGATACAGCAGGAGGGAGAAGGGGAGGAAGAAAGAGAGAAACATCGATGTGAGAGAGAGACATCAAGTGGGTGCCACCCACACAACCCCAACCGGGGCTGGGGACAAACTGCAACCAAGGTATGTGCCCTGAGCGGGAATTGAACCCAGTACTTTCTGTTCTGGCCGGGCCAACACTCTAACTGCTGAGCCAAACAAGCCAGGGCCATATTTATATTTTTAAATGCCAACTGAAAAACAAGCTCCTACACTCTGAACAAAATACAAAAAGCAGCAATCTGAGGGCTCTGAAAAGTAAACAATAGCAAGCAGATTATGGAAACAAAACACAAAGATGCAAATATGGGGTGATTTCCTGTTAGTTTTTCTTTTTCTCTCCTGGCTTGGACATAAGATTAGCCCCATTAGAGTAACTTTATAGAGGGTATATTGAGCAAAACCTTGAGAAAAATTTCATCTAGCTAGTGAGAGGACTGGGAAAAGGAACTCTGCCCTCTACCTCGGAGCTGGAGCAAGGGGATACTGGATACTGTGTACAAAGAGGCACAAGTATTATAACATCTCATGTGCACAAAACAGACCCTAGGAAGCACAGCCAAGGCCTTGATGACTTTACTAAAATCGTCACCCGAAGAAGGTAAAACAGAGCTTATGTTCTGAGTCTACTCTGGTTGATTGTACACTTTAAAAAAACAGAAAATTCTCCAGAGGATTTTAATAGGACCCAGATTGTCACAACACAATATTCAAAAATGTCCAGGATCCAAAATTACTTGGCTTACAAAGAAACAGGAAAATGTGATCAATTCTCAAGGGAAAAAACAATCAACAGATGCCAACCAAGATGAACCAGATGTTAGAATTATCAGTCAGCGACTTTATAGCAACTATTATAACTGTGCTCCATGAGATGAAGGTAAACACTATTGAAAGAAGTAAAATACAAACTATAAAAACTAACTCAATGGAAATTTTAGAACTGAAAAAAACAATGATCTGAAATAAAAAATGCATTAGATGGAATCAAGAGCAGAATGGACAGAAGGAAAAAGTCAGTGCACTTGAAGATAGATAGAAATGATCTCAACAGAACCTTCGAGACAGGTGGGAAAATAGTAAAAGGTCTAACATTTGTGTCAGTGGAGTCCCAGAAGAAGGGACACAGACACAAAAAAATTTGGAAAAAACTAGTCAAAACTTTTTAAATTTGGAGAAAGACGAATTTACACTGATCCAAGAATCTCAGTTAACCACAAAAAAGGTAAACTCAAGGAAAACCATGACCAAAAATATCATAATCAAATCACTAAAAACCAAAGATAAAAAAAAAATCTTGAAAGCAATCAGAGAAAAATGAAATACCATACATAGAAGAATGACTCAAACTAAGGGCAGAAGACAGTGAAACTTTATCTTTAAAGTGTTATAAGAAAATGAAATGTCAACCCAGAATTCTATATCCAGCAAAAATATCCTTCAGAAATGTTGCAACAAAGGCATTCTCTGATCAGGGAAAACTAACAATATTTGTTGCCAAGAGACCTGGTCTAGAAGAAATACTAAAGGAAGTTTCTTCACACTGCACAGAAATAATAAATACTTGAGTAAATGTAAGAGACTATTTTTGTCCTTTAAGTTTTAAAAATAAGTAGAACTATTGAAAGTACAAATTTGCACGCTGCCTCGTGGCATTTTAAATGTATGTAGATGAAATACACATGAAAATTATAACACAGAGGAAGTAAAGGGACCTATATGGTTGTTAAGACTCTACATTCTTCTAAATGACAAAATATTAACACAAAGTAGACTGTTTAAGGTTAGATATGTTTATTGTAAAGCTGAAAACAAAAAATACAAGAAGCCCTGGCCAGTTTGGCTCAGCAGTTAGAGTGTCGGCCTGCAGACCAAAGAATCTTGGGTTCAATTCTGGTCAAGGGCACATACCTTAGTTGCGGTTCAATTCCCAGGCCTGGTCAGGGTCATGTCGGAGGCAACCACTCAAGGTATCTCTCTCACATCGATGGTTCTTCCCCACTTCTCCCTCCCCCCAACTCTATCTGAAAATCTGCCTGGAAAAATATCCTTGGGTGAGGATAAACAACAACAACAACAACAACAACAAAGAGATACAAATATAAATTACAGTAAAATACTAAAATAATTAAATAACTCAAAGAAGGGGAAGGCAGGAGAGAGAGAAAGAACTGAGGAAAACAGAAAACAAATGATTAGATGGCAGACCTAAAAAAACTCAACCACATCAATAATTATATTAAATATAAATAGTCTAAACATACCAATTAAGAGATGGTAAAATAAGATTTAAAAATAAGATCCAACTCTATGCTGTGTATAGGAAACACTCTTTAAATATAATGGCATAGATTAAAAGGAGAAAAGATAGAAAAAGACATGCCATGCAAACACTTTCAAAATAATGCTCAAGTGGCCATATTAATATCAGGCAAAATAGACTTCAGAACATGAAATACTACACCAGGGATAAAGTGAGACATAACACGATAAAAGGGTCAGCTTTCCAAAAAGACATAAAAATTTTAAATGAGAAAGCTTAACCTAATGTCAAGACTTCAAAATACATGAAGCAAAAACTGACAGAGTTAAAAGGAAAAATAGACAAATCTTCAATTATATTTGGAGATCAATACTCATCTTTCAATAACTGATAGAACAAGTAGGCAGAAAATTATCAAGGATGAAGAATACTTAAGCAACACTATCAACCAACTTAACCTAAATAACATTTATATAACACTCCACCTAACATTAATAGGAAAAAAACAAGACAAAATCCTATTATTTTTTAAATGCACAAAGAATATTCACTAAGATAGTCCATATTCTGGGCCATAAAGCAAGCTTTGATAAATCTGAAAGAAGTGAAATCATACAAAGTAACAAAAAGATGCCTGGAAATATTTGAGAATTAAACAACAGACCTCTAAATAACTCATGAGTAAAAAAGTCGCAAGGAAAACCAGAAAATATTAAACACAACCCCACTCTAACCCCTAGCAGTTGTCTGTGTACATACTGTCAAGAATTTTAAATAAGAAGGACAAAGCTGAAGACTCACATTAATGTGATTTTTGAGATTTCCCATAAACTTATAGTAATGCACAACTGGTGAAAGAAAAGGCACAAAGATCAATGACATAGATTAAAGAACTCAGAAATAAACCTACACAAATATGGTCTATTCAAGGTTCAAAGTCAATTCAAAGAAGAAAAGAGAAATCTTTTTAATAACTGGTACTGAAACAATGAGATACCTGTGTGAAAAAATTAACTTAAATCTATATCACACACTTTATTTAAAAAAAAATTTAATAAGCTTATTAAAAACTAATTCAGCTCTGGCCGGTGTGGCTCGGTTGGGCATTGTCCTGTGCACCTAGAGGCAGCCAGTTCGATTCCTAGTGGGGCACATGTCCAGGTTTCAGGCTTGATCCCCATAGGGGACATGTGACAGGTAGCCAATCCATGTTGAACACTCACACTGAAGTCTCTCACTCTCTAAAAATCGATAAACTATTCTAAAACAAAACAAAACAAAAAACAACCACAAAACTAATTCAAAATGGATCACAGACCTAAATGTAAAACATAAAACTTCTGGAAAATAACCTTTATAACTTTGGGTTAGGCAAAGATAATGTTAGATACAATACCAAAAGTATGATACATAAAAGATAAAATGATAAAGTAGACTTTATCAAAATGAAAAACTTTTACTTTACAAAACACACTGCTGAGAGAATGAAAAGACAATCCACAGACTGGGAGAAACTATGTATAAACCATACATCTGACAGAGAACT